CCCTCCCCCCCCACACACACCCTTATGATCCTAACTAATGAAATTCCAGAGCCTGGCCTTATTAACAAAATAATGTAAAAAAAGAAATAAAGGAGATAGTTCTTTTTCTCTGCATCTGTTTAGGAGAGATGTTTTGCATCCTAAATTTACTTCAAATAATTTGATTTAATAAGTTGTTAAATATAAACCTTTCACAATAATATTTTTATTCTCTGGTGTTACATGGAAATTTGTGTGAATATTTATGTTTACTGCTAACTTGTTTTATTTTCCATTAAAACAAATCTGTATTTGAAAGTATGATTTGAACAAAGCAAATCTCACAAGACTCTAAGATTTTACCAATTATCACTATGTTCTATGAAAATAACTTTTAAAAGGGAAATGAAATTCGGATCGGTTCTCTCACTAGTTTTTTGTTGTACTATAAGTAAGGGTGTAAATGAAATCTCTATATTTCTAAACTATAAAAATACTTAAAAGTTTGTTCTGTCCAAACACAATGGAATCATTGGTGCTTTCCATTTCTCCTACATGCACGCTTCGAACAACAACAACAAAAACCTATGACTTTTCTAGATGTATTACTATTAATATTATTGCATTCTTTTTTTAAAAAAAAAATCCTTACTCAAGGATATGTTTATTGATTTTAGAGAGAGAGGATGTTTGTCTCCCATTCGCATACGACCGGGGAATGAATCTACAATGTAGGTATGTTCCCTGACTGGGAATCAAACCCACAACCTTTTTAGTGTACAGAATGATACTCCAACTGAGACACCTGGCAGGGACCTCTACTTACATTATTTAATAAAAAGCTCAAGACTGTATGTGTGTTTTTAGGGACCATTGTTAAAGTTTAATATCCTCTATGAATTCATTTTCTTTTCACTTATTCTAAATGTAGAAAGTAACCTTTGGGGAAATTATTTTTTAATTATTAATAACTATTACCTAAAATTATGTGCACAGGTGTGTGCTTTATAGAGAAATATAAAAATTAAAGATTTGCTTTCTAGTAGCACAGTCTTAGAATAAAATCCTTGTGCTAAACCTAGAGCAGGACAGAAGTAGTAGTAGGAGAATTAGTCTAATTAAAGACCTTACCGTACCGAACTTTTATCATCTGAATCCCATAGTTGATTTCCTATAGCTGGTATATGCTTCTTATAAGCAGAATCAGTATTCAGAGATGCCTAGAGTCAGGGAAGTAGACCCCATTGGGGGCTCTGGGCAAGCTCACATTATGCAGGGAAGTGGACCTTCTGAGACCACTGGAGACCACATAAGCACCCTTAGTGCTGTGTTATTTACCCCCTCCTGTCTCCCACTGCTACAGCAGCACAAACATTCATTTGCAGAAAGAAATTTCTGGGAGGGAGGAACCAAAATCTGTTTAGTCCTATGAGACATGCAGATCACAGTAAGTCAGGTTTAAGATAGAGCCTTGGCACGGTAGAGCTCTAAACTAAGCCTTTTGATTTGGATCAGCTTATATATTTTAAAAAATAAATATGTTATATAACATGTACTTGAACATATTTTTTGTTACACAAGATTCAAATGTTAAATTTTTGTTGTCATTGCTTAGGTTTTAAACCTTCCCATAAGATTTTACATTTTTATTTTGGTTTTGTTTTTCTCTATTTTACATTTTTTAAAGAACTGTCAAATCTAGACCCAACTGTAAAAGAGAACTTAGGATATGATAAAATATATGATAAAACTATAAAAGAAAATATCTATAATAAGAAGTAAATGACAAATATTATGTAATAACTGATGATCCATTTGGAAAACAATCCAAATTAGATTCTATGGAAGACATTGATTGGTGGCCAAACAACCATTCCCAAACCTCTTTTCCCTTCTAGAAGAGGTAGCTTCTATCCTTAATATATTGGTAATAATTCTATTGCTTTTTTTCTACCTCATATGTATTTCTCTATAAACAATATATTATTCAGTTTTGTCTGCCATGAAATATTTATACATTGAAAAAAATCCCCCAAAACTGTCATGTCATTGTAGATACCATATTTGCAGTTTCTACTTGTATTGAAATAAATATCATGTATTTACCCATAATTATTCATTGGGGAACATGAATGTTCAAAATGGCAGCCAGCAAGCACTACACTTTATGTATTCTAATTTATTTCTCTACAAGAGAAGTTAAGCATTCCTCTCACATGTCATTTTGGTACAGTGTTACTGCTCTGTTACTCAGCCCTGCCTTTCAGCACAGCCTCTCTAACGTAATTAAAGCCCAATCCCATAGCTATTATGTGGAAATTGCTCCCAGGAGAGTCCATTTTCCTCAGTTATATAGAACAGTTCATTTATCTAACTTGCAATGTCTCATTCTTAAAGTGTCACAAATGAAAATATCTCATCTGTTAATATTCTGGTGGCTTTGTTGTGTGAAGTCCTCTATCTGTTATATTATCTGGATAATGAGGGAGGA